CATTCCTGCCGCATCTTGTTTTCCTTAAATATTCTGCGAAGTTACCTCCTAGTTAACAAGTGTGTTTGACCCCGTATTTATCGCCCCGGGGTAGGGAATAGGGGTTTCCGCAGGTGCTTGCTTTTAGTACCACCTGTGAACTCTTGAACTTGTGATTTTCACAGTAGCCTTTGCCCGGGGGTCCCGCCTCTGGGCCTAACTCCAGAGTCCTTAGAAGGCAAGATGAGTACACTCCTTGTACTCCTGCCCGAGTCCGTGAGGTCGATTTGCAGCTGCGGAAACCTAGGTATTCTATGCTGACCGTGGCCCCCAGCCCAGACTATCCTGGGCGTCTCCTGTCCGCTGGCGCGCGGGCTTGATTTTTACGCCTACAAAATCCGCAGTGACTGCCACTTGCAAAGCCCCTTCTGCAGAGTGACGCTTCCCCCCAACCCTCTCAAATCCCCACCCGCACCCCAGCAGCCCACCGGGGTGTGGCTGGAGGCTCGAGTCCTCCGCGACCGCTGACCCTGTGGTTTTAGAATGGAGTCCTGAACCGACCTAGGTCGCGCTCAGAGCTCGCGACCTGCTGGGCTTTGCTCGGGACCTGGCTCCCAGGCCCGCTTGGCTGGTCCACAAACCCGCGCGCTCTGCACACCCAAGTGTGAATTCCTCCGGCGCGAGCGTGCGCGCGGCTCTGGCCCTGAGGTCCAGGGTCGCAGCGGTTCCCTCTCCCCGGCATGGCCCTCCAGGTGACTGCGAAGCAACCTGTTCCAATAGCAACCGGGCAGATCCAGCGGTTCCCACTGGTTCCCACTGGCTCGGCTCCGTGCGACACACTCTCTAGACGCACATCGCGGGCTTCGGGGATTTTAATTTCGCCGTAAGGGCGCTCGTCATCCGGCCACCAGGCGCTGCAGTTTGGGTTTTATTTGCTTCGGATTTGAACACTGCTAGAGGCCTCGTGGCAGAGCGCTCCAGAGCAGCTTCTCAGCGGCGGGGACACAGGCGCACGGCGACTCCGCTGCAGCAGGGCCAGCTGTTCTCGGACCTCAGAGTCGGCGGGGCTCCCAGCCGGGTGCGAACCGTCGAGCCCCGCGCGGCCTCGGTCCCCAGGACTCCCGGATTACACCCTGCCTTTCTCTTTGCGCTCTTTCAGGACAAGGACACACAACGCTCCTCGGCGCCTCGGTATTGGCAAACATGTCACATCCACGTCCCCCGACCTGCGCACCTAGAAACTGAATCTAGCGCGAGTCCACCGCAGACCAGCCCTCCTGTGGGTAACTGCGGGCTGGGAGAAGTGCCCAGATGTCAAAGGTCCCTGCCTTCGAGAGTCGACGGCAGACCCGTACTTGCCTGTGGTTTGAGGGGAGACTGGCGCTGGATTTTTGAATTCCAAATTAGGTGCAGAATGCTGAATCTTCTAATCAGGACTGATCAGACACGGCAGAAAAGCCGACTCCCGTAATTTTGGGATTGCATTTTGCAACTTGTCTCCTCCAACTTGGCTCCAAGCCTCGGGGAGGCAGGCAGTTGGAGCCTGCGGCCAACGCAGCGGGTGGAGGGGGTCCGCAGGCAGCCCCGCGCACCCCTGGCCATGTCGCCTTTAATGCCCTGCCCCTTTGCAAGGCCTTCTGAGGGTTTCCAGGGCTGGCCGGGGCTCCTTCCCACCCTCGAGCTCTCTGTCACCCCCAGCCAACCCCAGCGGGCTAGGCTGTCCGGAGCCGAGACCTTTTGACTCTCTGCTTCCTCGCTCCCGCCTCCACCCCCGCCCGGGGGTGGCCCTCGAGAGCCGGGCCTTGCCCGGCCGGGCAGAGACCATGGTGTTTTTCTCTGGAAATGTCTCTGACAGCTCCAACTGCACCCACCCAACGGCACCGGTGAACATTTCCAAGGCCATTCTGCTGGGGGTGATCTTAGGGGGCCTCATCATTTTCGGGGTACTAGGGAACATCCTAGTCATCCTCTCCGTGGCCTGCCACCGGCATCTGCACTCGGTCACTCACTACTACATTGTCAATCTGGCGGTGGCCGACCTTCTGCTAACCTCCACCGTGCTGCCCTTCTCCGCTATCTTCGAGATCCTGGGCTACTGGGCCTTTGGCAGGGTTTTCTGCAATATCTGGGCGGCGGTGGACGTCTTGTGCTGCACTGCGTCCATCATGGGACTCTGCATCATCTCCATCGACCGCTACATCGGCGTGAGCTACCCCCTGCGCTACCCCACCATCGTCACCCAGAAGAGGGGTCTCATGGCTCTGCTTTGCGTCTGGGCGCTCTCCCTCGTCATTTCCATCGGACCTCTGTTCGGCTGGAGGCAGCCGGCCCCGGAGGACGAGACCATCTGCCAGATCACCGAGGAGCCGGGCTACGTGCTCTTCTCTGCTCTGGGCTCCTTCTACTTGCCGCTGGCCATCATCCTGGTCATGTACTGCCGGGTCTACGTGGTGGCCAAGAGGGAGAGCCGGGGCCTCAAATCCGGCCTCAAGACCGACAAGTCGGACTCGGAGCAAGTGACGCTTCGCATCCATCGGAAAAATGCCCCAGTGGGAGGCAGCGGGGTGCCCAGCTCCAGGAACAAGACGCACTTCTCCGTGAGACTCCTCAAGTTTTCCCGGGAGAAGAAAGCGGCCAAAACACTGGGCATCGTGGTCGGCTGCTTCGTCCTCTGCTGGCTGCCTTTTTTCTTAGTGATGCCCATCGGTAAGTCTTGACTACACCTCATCTTAGTAATTAGGGTCTTCACCCTCTTCCCCTTCTGCTACTCCAAACTCACAGTAGGGGGTGAAGAGAAAGGATCTGCATTTCAAACAGCAAAGCTAGGAGGGAACTTAGGAAAGACTTCCTCGTAGAAAAGTGAATTTTCATTCTTTCTACTCCAGTCTCATTCCTACCGTGTTACGTCCTAGGGTACTTTTTCAGCTACTGTAAAGTGGCTTCCAACTGATGCAGATTAATTGGTCTTTTTAATAAGAACATCAGCTTTTCTCAGTGCCCTTAATCGTGCGTTTAGTTTAAATACATCCGTCCTCCTTCAAGTCTCACAGTCTCCACCACACACTTAGGCAGGGGCTGTGGAATGCCACTTCCACCTCTGCTTCCATGGAATGCAGATTCTCTTGGCCTAAAAATAAGCATCATGCTTTTTCTGAACAGATGTGTAATTTTATTATCAAATTAGATTATTTCTAAGGGTTAGCTATAATGATCTGCTTATGTTTTATATCTGTGTTAATTTTATGTTCTGCATTCAGTATGTAAGAAAGTGTAATGAGCCACTGACAAGAAAAAAATGATTTTGTGTCCAAACCAATTTAAGCTTTAAGGAATTCAACATAACGTTTCCAGTAAGTACTTTTCCCTGTACTTTAATAGTAAGTATTAAAGCAAACACTACTTTTATCCAAAATCATTTGGAAAGTTGCAGATGACACTTTGAAAATAATACAGTAATGTTACAAATCCAGGTTTTGCAAATGCCGAATTAGCCGTTGTCAAAACTAATTAGCTCATTAGCAGTATCAGCAAACTGATCCACTCGCAATAGTCATCTATGGATGAAAGGCCGTCATGAGATCCCAAAATGGTTGTTAGCTATTTTTAGTTTGTGAACTCAAATATAGACCCACACGTTGGTTATCCACTAACTCTGGTAAAAGTTATGATAAACAAAAAATTATGATAAAAATTAATAAAAATCTGTTTCCGGCACTTCGGAGCCACATTTAAATGGCATGTAATTAAAGTGGTTTAATTTGCAATGCGACGTAATCTTAGCAGCCATTATTTTTTGAGGACCAGCTTTGTTTCAGACATTTGACAAGGCTTTTTATTTCATTAGTTCTCTCAACAGCTCAGTGAGGTATGCATTATTATCCTGAAATCACAAGCAGGGAGAAGGGATTCTCCAGGTTCTAAAGTTTCACTGCCTAATTCCATAGCTACCAGCCACATGTGGCTATTTAACGTGAATTTAAATTGAAGAAAATTAATATTCAGTTCCTCCTTTTAAGTGCTCAATAACCACATGTGGCTAGTGGCTACCGATTTGGACAGCAGAGATATAGGACATTTTCATCATTGTGGAAATTTCTATCTGACAGAGCTTCTCCGGAGGCCTTTTAAGTTCACTAGCTGGCCGTCCATTGTGCCTGCCCGTCCTGATTGCTTCCTCTGCTCCTAGAAATACATCACAGCCTTGAATTTATTTAAATAACACTTTTTACCTGAACTACTACTACCTGCTTACCTACCTTCCTACATCCCATCTCTTCTTCCCGAAGTTTGCACATTTATTCATGCATACATTCACTCATCAAGTTATTTACTGAATACTTGTTCTAGACACTTAGGATGAACAAGGCAGAAAAGTTTTTGACAGTAAGATGTTTGCATTCTTTTGGGAGAGATAGACATAAACAAATAAATATACGCTAAGAATTCAAGATTAATAAGCACTATTTAAAAAGTCAACAGAATAAGAGACTAGAGAGTATCAGGACAATGGGGGTGGGTAGTCGGGAAAGTCCTCTCCGAAGAGATGATGTCTGAGCACACACTTGACTGAAGTGAGGAATAAGCCTTGCAAAGTCTAGGAGGAAAAGCTTTCTGAGCAGAGGGAACAGCTAATGCAAAGATGGGGAAGAACCTGACCTGTTCAAGGCAGAGTAAAGAAGCCAGTGTGGCTGAACCACAGAGAATGAGGGGGAAGACAAGTTCAAAAAGAGGCTGAGACGATAAACAAGGTCAAGAGAATGTAGGTTTTTTTAAGTCAACGTAGAATTTGCATATTTTTCTAATTGTGATGAGAAGCCATCCAGCTGGAGGGTTTTTAGAAGATGAGTGGCTAGTCTTATATCTTAAAGGATCTTTCTAGTTACTGGGTAGAAAGTGAGCTGTTTAGGGGTGAGAGTGGAAGCAGAGAGACCAGGTAGGAGGCTGGTGGAGAAGTGAAGGGGATAAAAGTTGTGATACCTCACACTCAGGTGAGACAGATGGAGGTGATGAGAATTGATCACATTCAGCACTCATTTCAAAAGTAGAGCTGACAAGTTTGGACATAGGGTGTGAGAAAAAAGAGGAATTGAAGATAACTTCCTGGTCTGGGGTCTAAATAACTGGATAAATGGTGCATTTTACTGAGACTAGGAAAACTAGAGAATGACAGGGTTATAAGGGGCTGATGGGAGTATGAAGGACAAGTGTTTATTTTGTATAGCCTATGTTGAGAAGTGTCTATTAGGCATCTAAGTAGAGATGTTCAGTAGGTGATTAGATATATGAATTAAAGCTAAAGTGGGAAGTTAGGTTACTTTATAAACTTGGGACACATCAAGGTATTTAAAGCCACAGAAATGGAAGGACCTTTGAGGCATCCTGGATATTTGAAGGGTGGGAAAAGGAGGAGAACCAGTTGGCCAAAGAAATTGAGAAGGAGTGGCCAGGGAGTAGAGCATGGTGTTCCCAAAGCCAAATGGAAATGCTTCAAGAAGGCAAGAGTGATCAACTGCGTCACATACAGTTCCCAGGCCCCGTCAGAAGAGGACAGAGAATTGACATTGGATTTGGCCATGTGGAGATCCCTGCAGATATGAAGAGATCCTTTGAGGATTTCAGTCTCAGTAGAGTGATGGAAACAAAATCCTGGTCGTGTGCTTTCTGGAGAGAATGGAAGATGAAGAAGTGGCAGCAGCGAAAGTAGACAGCTCTTTGGAAAGGTTTCGCAAGGCAGTGGAGCAGGGAAATCGAGTGTAGCTGAAAGAACCTAGAGAGAATTTTCAAAGGTGGAAGATTGGCTATCATATTTATATTCTGATAGAAATGATGGGGTAGAGAGATGCTGATGATAAGATGGAACTCAGTTCCCAAGTGGAGAGTTGAGAAATGATGAGAAAATACAGTGGAGGGAGAGAGGTAAAGCTCTCTTTGGAATATATTTAGATCTTCAATGAAATAAGTAGCAAGATCACCTAAGAGAGAGGAAGGAATAGGAAATGATGGGGATTTAAGGAGAAAAAGAAGATGTGAAATATTAATCTTTCAGATGACAGAGTAAATAGATTATGGAAATGTAATAGAGTCACCAGGAATTCTTGAGGAGTCCTATTGAGACATGACCATAAATTTAAAGTAAGACCAGTCAAGAAGGTTGTATGTTACTCATTAACAGTCAAGAAGCTAAGGATTATAGGAATTGTTGCTGATTACTGACTAGATCTAGGGGCCACAGTGAGGAGGGGGTGTTTGTGCAGAGACATAAACTGGATCAGATTAGGGGTCATATAGGAGAAGTGGTAGAAAAAGCTCGGGTGATGATAGGTGACTAGGAGTTTGGGACTTCTGGTAATGACTGAGGATCAGGGAGATGAACACAAGGGGCTGGGTCCTGAGGTCCTCTAAGGCAGGGATCCCCAAGCCCCAGGCCACGGACCTGTTAGGAACGGGGCCACACAGCAAGAGGTGAGAGGTGGCTAGCAGAGAAGCTCCCCAGTGCTAGGGTCCCCGCCTTAGCTCCACCTCAGATCATCAGGTGTCAGACTCTCATAGGAGCACCGGTTCTTGGTGCCAAAAAGATTGGAGACCGCAGCTGTCAGTGAAGGTGGACTCTGGTCTTATCAGAGCCTTCCTCTCGAATCTGCTCTCTTGGGGAAGATGGAGCGAAGATGTTATAGTGCAGGGGAGTTGTGGTAAGAGAGGAGCTCCCAGAATCACTGGGCTCCCTTTAAATCCTAATAATGGGGTGTGACAGGAGGGAAATTGAAAATTTATGCTTAACAGTATCTGACCAAGCTGCTCAGTAGGGCGGAAGACCCCTAAACCTATCAAATCTATGGTGCACATTTTTTTCTTGACACTGAACAAGTAAGAGACTAAATCTTCCAAGATTTGTTGACTGTATAATCGGTACCAGGCACTGAGTTAAACAGAATAAAAAGATGACTAAAGCACATTCCTGGCCCACAAGGGCCTCATGGTCTAGTTAAGGAGACAAATAAGAACAGTTATCACAAGTCTTTGAGATTGGTCCTCAAAGCAGTATTATAAGTGCTAAGGAATATAGCAGTTAACCCTGTCTGGAGGCCACCATGGAAACTTCTAGAAATGTCCCTGTTGCCTGAGCAGGGACTTGAAGGCTGACTACTTCCACTGGGCCATTAATGAGATTTTATTTGTTTTTAGTTAACTATCTTAAGTACATTTTTCATGCAAAATGTAAACAGAAGAATAAATGTGCCATTATATTATCACACAGAAGGGACATGGGCTCTTAAGTACTCTCTTGGGAAAGAGAGGTTATCAATCTGCTCTAGGCTGCCAGAACAGTGGGATTAGAAACTAAAACGAGGGTAGATATGAATGTGATATATAAATCTGAAAAGTGAAGCACCCACATGCCGAGGACCCAGCCCAAGATAACCAGTTGAGTGAATGCTCTCCATTTCATCACCAAAGGCTGTGAAAACACTGCCTCCTCATTGCATCCACACTCTCTCCCTCACCAGCCCCTTCGCACGAGGGCCAAGTTGGTTGCTGGACTGAACAGTTTGATTGCAGGTAGGAACCTGACTTGCCTGCTCTCAAGTCTAAGTCTTGTTAGTCTTGTTTTCTTTTTGTATCCCAAATGTTTAGTTGAGATTCAGAACCCTTTCATGGGAGGGAGATCACGTTTGAGTTTATCAGTCATTTATACCTTGGAGTGAATG